CTACTACACCAATGGTCAAGAGATGGCGCTGTAGTCTCCTGAATCGCGCTTTGGTTCCGTTGTTCCAGATTAATAAATACTTTTGATAGGCCTTCACAATGCAGTCGTTAGCACCCACTAAATAGAGATTCTATTTCTATTTTGTTGGTAGATTTTCTTAATGTGCTGCGGTAAACACAAAAGTAACGCATGAAGTTGGTCGCTAAGTTAAAATTTTGTGTTACAGTGATGCGCGCGCATCTTAAAATTTCACTCTCATCATTTTTTCATAACGCGCCTAAAGAAGTATAACTTCAAAAATATTAAGGCCGCGTTGTTACATCTAAATTTCATCATCATCAGCCTATTAATGTCACCACTGCTGGGCACAGGCATTCCATATGGATGGAATAAGGAGATTGAGCCATGACCCACCACGCGGGCTCAGTGCGGATTGGTGGGTGCTAACCACTGCAGATGCAGCCGGGCCCAATGGCTTAACGTGCCTTCCGAAGCACGGAGGAGCTCGAGATAATAAATTTCTGGTCACCCATCCAATGACCGACTACTGCGAAAGTTGCTTAACTTCAACGATCGCAGCCGAACGCGCTAACCACTTGCGCCATCGAGCTCCTTATAAATAAAACTGCAGTCAAAATACTAGACAAAAAATAATTACTTGGCAAAAGGAGATTGCTCAGCTTCCGTACATGTTTGGCCTAAGGACCAATTACCATGAAAAATTGTTTCCTAGATTGGAAATAATATTTAAATTACTGTAGAAACGAATATTATTGACGGACACCCCTGAGAACTTCTATAAACCATATACTTACACTGAATGATTTTGAGGTTATGTTTGCAAATAGGTACATAGGTATTAAAATAATAAAAAACAAATAAGTTACATAGTAAACTAGGGAAATCAAGCCAAGTACCGAAATTATGTATTAGATTCAGGTATACAGAGCATGTAGATTAACAGATAGTTCCTGTTTTTAAAGTTAATGCACAAGAGTAACTTTTAAAATCAGGTATCATCTATGCATTTCCGGTTATAATAAGAAACACTGTGATGATTGTGAATGAGCCACAGATTAGAGAGAATTTTTAAACTCTCGTTAACCAAAGAAAGCTAAGAGATTTAGGTTATTTGTTTCTTAGGTTTTCACGCACATCACTCATTAAATAAAACTAGTTTTTACGGGTTAATGCACGAAAACTTTATTTATTTATTGACGTTTCGTAGCCTTTACAGGCTACGTCGTCAGAATAAAACTTTTATTTAATTTGTCGAGCTACCTTCGAAAGACTTTTATTGAGCGTTTGGTTATTTCATTGTTCGATTTTTAAGTTTTATTGGTACAGATATCTCAAAAGAACGGGTACATCATATCGTAAGTGAGGAATTAAATATGAAAAAGTTATCGGCCCGTTGGGTGCCACGATTGCTTACGCACGATCAAAAAAGTATTCGGGTGCAAAACTCAAAAGAATGTCTGGACCGTTTTCAGAGTAATAAGGCCGAATTTTTACGTCGATTTGTAACAACAAATGAAACATGGGTTCATCATTACACGCCAGAATCAAAAATTCAATCAAAACAGTGGACTCAATGTTCAATTTCATCCATTTTGAAAACAATTAACGAAATATATTTTCAAATGACAAAAAATCAATAAAATTTTCGTGCCACCAAATTCAAATTTAGAACACAGGTGGTCAAAGATACGAATTTAAAAATGACATATATATTTTTTAAATTTTAACTTTTTAAATAGCAGAGGCTAGTTGTTTATCATCCCGCCCTTGTATTTTAGATTTTTAGTATATCACGCCTTATAATGTGTTTATGGAGGTGTTTGGCGAAAAATGTATGACAATAGACTTTATGATGTCGCCTACCATATAATAATTGTCTTAGTATATTTGCATGTAGTGAAAATGATAATATAGTTGTAGATATTCATACCACAGTCTAATTAAAAAAAAAATATTTTATCGATCTTTACAAAATAGAATTGATTTTGTGTTATCTAAACAACTTCGATCAGTCTTTGGCTGAATGTTACTACACCCATGGCCATTAAAAATTATTCGTATGTTTTCCAAACCGGTACAATTAAAAGTCCTTTTTTAAATGAATATAATACACAAAGGTGTCCGTTAAAATCTAATGACTGTAAAATAAAGTATAAATTACCTACGTCAAGAATTACCGTATATGTCAATATTTTTTGTGCATTTGGGCAAATTTGAGCAATCTCCTTTAGTGATTTTAATACTGTTTTAGGCGGATTTGATTGAAAATTATTTGAGATTGAAATTCAATTGTCCAGATGCGTCATTACACCGTTTTGTTCGGCAGCTCCTCAATTTCTTTTCGAATTACAAACCTTTCAGGCATTCCAGTGGAAGTTAAGGAAATTGAGACAAAAATTACTTTTCTCGCATTCACAACCAGGGACATAAAATTTCAACCCCCATGTTAACACTGTCGTCACAAGATTACTTCACAATCTCACACTGTTTATGTATCTCATATACGATGTCAAATATAGACGACATAAGACCTTTACGCTGTGATGAAATATTTCAAGCGAAACTGTGTTCTGTACAGAATTACTGAACTCCTTTGCGCCGAGCAAAATAAACGACTTTAATATCTTAGGAGTACAACTTTCCGTCTCTCAAATAATAAATTTCTATTATTCAACGGAAATGATTTTTTTTTCATTTCCTTAATAGAAAATATATCTTTCTTTACAAAAAAGGTCTAATTAGAAATAATGAAGACCTCCTTGGCCGAGTGGTTTGTACGCCGGGTTTCATGATATTGCTGACTCGGGGTTCGAATCCCGATGGGCCTAGATAATTCTGTGATAAATACGAGCATTCGTACTCCATATTTGTTTGATAAGTTTTCACGCACATCGCTCATTAAATAAAACTAGTTTTTAACGGGTTAATGCACGAAACTTTATTTATTTATTGACGTTTCGCAGCCTTTTCAGGTCTGCTTCGTCAGAATGATTTTTTATTTAATTTTGTCGAGCTAACTTCGAAAGACTTTTATTGAGCGTTCGGTTATTTCGTTGTTAGATTTTTAAAATTGTATTGTTTATGTATGTATTTATCAGTTAATTTAGTTAATAAAGTACTTTCTTATTATTTTTGTAATTTTGAGTTTATTTATTTGACCCTAACTACTGTGAACTACCACCGGTTACAATATTGGGAGACCTTTCTGAGAAGAAAGTTCAATTCTCAAAATTACAAAAAAAGAATTTTAAATAAAGTACTTTTTTAACTAAATTAACTAATAAATTCAAACATAGACACTAAGATTTTAAAAATCTAACAATGAAATAACCGAACTCCTAATAAAAGTCTTTCGAAGGTAGCTCGACAAAATTAAATTAAATAAAAACTCATTCTGACGAAGCAGACCGGAAAAGGCTGCGAAACGTCACTAAATAAATAAGTTTCGTGCACTAACCCGTTAAAACTAGTTTTATTTGTACTCCAGTCATGAATGTTTAATATGCATTTCTATATAAATATACTTATATATTATGTATAGTGTATCCATTACCCTAGTATCCCATAACACATGCCTTACAGTGCTTACTTTGGGGATAAGCTAATTGGAGTGTGATGTAAAAAAACTGTTTAGTATTTAAGTTTTGAGTGGAGACCGTTTCTGTTGACCATATGTTAACTTTATGTTAATACAGTTATTTTCAAATCTATATGTTTGAGGGTTTATTAAATATGAATGTATTCGTAATATATTTTTGATCAGAACACTTAGTGAACCCTCTAGTAGCTCCTATTCAAAAGACTGACGATTTGGACCCGACTAAAAGTCATGGCCGTTTGTTGAAATTTTGTTTTTGCTGCCCTAGACGTTCGGCCCTACATAGAGGGCTCAGGTATGGTGGGAGTAATTAACAAGATGCAAGGTTGCTCCCCATATGTTATTCTACCGCGCTTGAGTAAATCCAAAAATCCCCGCTTGGGCTACCCTACTATAATAGGTGAACCTTTACAGGCGAAAGCTCTATTGCATATAATTTTAGGTACCCATTTTCCGATGTAGAAGCTATCATAGCATTTGAATTATTACCCTGATTCTGTAAAAACTTAATTCACTACACACCAGGCTTTAAGAGTAATAAATTTCGGCTTCTAATTTAGACAGACATTCATATACAATAATGGCACAAAAGCATTGTGAAATTGATAGAGCTATAAGAGAGTAGTATGAGAAAGATAATCACATCCGTACAAACCTCAAATATTGTCCAGAAAACCAAATATCAGCTTAAAACAGTATCAAAGCATACATTAATTTTATCAACTGGACAATTATTTATAACTACATTATGTTCTAACTTAAATACTCCAACGTCTTTAATAACGAAGTGCTAGTCTTAACTAACCTCAAAGTGATCTATTCCGTTTAAATAGGTAGCCGATTCCGTTATCATTTCTCCAACGAAATCGGCAATTTCCGAGCCTATTTCGTCAGCAGTCAAAGAAATGACGAAATTTTAATTACTGAAAGTTTTAGTATTCACGACCGCCGCGGGATCGACCTAATTGGCATGAGTTGTCATGGAGCAAGCTCTTTCAACGAGAATCATGAGTTCAGAATTACAGTTACAAACTTAGAGCCCCCGATAACGCGGCTTAATGCTGACTGTGTCTGGCTTGTAGTTTGTGTTATGAGCGAGCAGCGATTAGGATTAAAATTTAAATATAAAACAAAAACTAAATTAAAAAAAGTTCCTTGAATACGTTTAAAAATTTGTAAAGTCATTTATAGTAGAAAAAAATCCACGCGGACCAGGCAGCGGACGGGATTTTTTTCTATTAAAACATTTCTTTAGATTTAAACATCTAGCAGTTAAATGCTTAAAAATAAATAAAAACATCACTTATAGTAGTTAAAATCCTTAGGAAATTTGAATATAATTCCAATTTGTTATTCGTAAATAAATGGATTATATTAGAATGTGGAATCCTAATTCAATCAAAGTTTAAAGATCTGAGAGACCTTTTGAATTTCTGATATCTCTATACAATTAATCATTCGCTCACTTAGACCAAGCCCAGAGATCAAATGAGTACTCAAAAGTGACGTTATTCGCAGCGATAATAAAAGATCAGAGATACCAAAGAAGATTGTTTAATTCCTACTTGCGTTTTATTATACAAATTCCGTTAATACTGCAATAATACATCCTCGTTAACCCAAATGATTCCATCGACCGCTCTTGAAACATTTTCAATAGTCTAGTTAACGAGTAATTCTAGCTTTAATTTAGATTTGAAACGGGAGTAAATAAAACTACCGAAATAATAAGAAAACTTTATATTGTGTAAATGCATTAAATATTAAAAGATAAAATAGTTTTTGGCATACAGAAATCGGTTCTCTTCCTACCAACGTAAAGCTCATACTGTTTTATATAACTAAAATCTAAGTCTTAAATCACAAATAACTTAGTGATAATACTAGACGATAAGAATTATATCGTTGTAGAAAAGTTTGAAAGCGTAATTTTTGAAACAGGCTCGTACTTCAATGATAAAATTTTTCTGAGGATCAAAAAAATTGATATTTGATCCTCAAAAAATACAATTGGTAATCTAACCTAACATTTAGGTCACCATGTTTGTTTCTTAGGTTTTCACGCACATCACTCATTAAATAAAACAAGTATTTATTCTTTAATTATTTTGAGGACACATTCCTGCAAAGGATGCGAAACGCCAAACTATACTAATATTATAAAGAGGAAAGATTTCTATGTAAGTATGTTTGTAATGAATTGGCTCAAAAAGTACTGGAACGATTTTAAAATTTCTTTCACCATTTCAATGCTACATTATCACTGATTAATATAGGCTATAGTGTATTTTCAAAAAGTTAGGGTTTGTTTGAAAACTTCGATAATGTAACCCAACGTGTGTAAAAAATACCAAAAAATAACCTTATATCGCGTTCGCTGCGGAAGTCATTAACAATAGAGCAAAGTGATGTACTAAAGTTTTATAGAGTATATCTACAAAAAAATCCCCGATACCATATTTCTAACTATTACAGTTATGTCACAACTAGATGTCCACTGCGTTTCACCTCCGTTAATTTGAAGAAAAAGGTTTATAGAGTCAAACTTAAAATATGGACAAAGGCTGTCACGGACTTTTTTACAGAACTTTTAAACAGATTTTTTTACTTGGAATGGAAGGTTTATTCATTATTATGAAGAAAGTCATTGTGTATAATACAAGCCTTTGAACAAAATCTATATAAATAGTCTACACTTCAGCTCTACACCGAAGCAAAGCGAGGGCGGGCCACTAGTAAATAAATTAATTCAGTGCATATAACCCGTCGAAACTTGGTTTTATTTATGTAGGTTACCAATTGTATTTTTAGGTAGTAGTAATAGGTACTATTTTATTTGAGTATCATTTAAATATTTTCCATTAAAATACAATGACGCGTTCACCCCCACACTTACTGAATAGTTCTATATCAGAAATTGTTTCAAAGCATTCAACTATTTTTCTTTATTTCTACCATTTTAACAGTACCTGTACTAGTTTCTGTGTCATTTGAAGACCCAGAATTCGAATGCTCTAATGTACTATTACCGCTAGTCCTACTGCTTCTTTTTCTATTACCTTTTAAGCCTCTGCTAAGTATGGAATTACTCCTTTTCTGTTTAACTTTTACAGCTCTCTCTGGTGGTCTGTGTATACTTTCAGTACGATTTTGTAGTTTATTGAGACTGAAATTGGGTTTAATTTGTGCAGTTTTCTCTAAATCACTAACGTCTGGTAAATGTAAATCTGTTATACAAATATAGTCTTCTTTGTTTTTGGGAACTATGAGACCAGGGTTTATTTTGACAGGTACAATTTCTAATTTTCTTTCAAATGCTGTTTCAGGTCCTTTTGAATCTAACATCTGTTCTGTTGGCGATTCAACACCACCAACCAGTTCTTGGATAAGTTTATCTTCACCAATTTCGTCAAGAATGTCATCGATTTCGTCATCATCATCAGAGTAGAATGACGAAAATGATGTGATTGAACCTGTTTGTGAATGAAAGTCATCGGGAAGTGTAACTCTTGGAGTATTAGCAGGAATCTCAGTTTGACTGGGGGAAGGTTTTATAATTATTTTTGGTTCTGTATCAGAAATGTCGCTAGAAGTAATGATTACTTTTGGATATTCTCTCTCTTTTCCAAATACTGTCTTAGTTGATTCAGAATAAATTTTATTTGGTTGTATCTCCAGTGATCTATTCAAAGATTGGGTCGTGTTAGGTGATAAGGAATCTATGTTCTCATAATTTTTGTGTAAAAGCTCTTCTGCTATACTTTTAGATGCTGAACTTCCAAAGGATGTAAGGGGTTTTGAGTTTTTGTATGCAAGACGACGATCTAAAGTTGTAGTTCGGGGCGGTGGTTGTGGTGGTACTTTAAATCGATCAGAATGACTTTCAGTACTGCCTGAAAAATGTCTGAACGAATTTAAAGAATTCGGTTGCAAGGATAATCTTTTTTGACTTTTCGGCAAATCAGGAAGTACTTTTGGAAAATTTCTCTTTTTGATAGTCATTAGAGCTTCCTCCGCTGTTAGAGGTTCTTCTTTTCGATTTTCATCACGTGAAGTAACATTAATATCGTTTCTAAATGTCACTGGTGGTAGAATATTAATATGGTGTGCACCACTTTCTGTGTTATCTTTTATTATTTTTTCATAATTAACATTGGTTACAGGATCAGACGTGGAATGTTTATGAGATATTTTAAGGGGTTTGCCTTGTTCTACAGACAAAGTTACAACATTTTTATAAGTCATATTATCGGAATTACTTTTATTCTGTGTTGTTACAGTAAAATTACTATCAGTCTGAATTTCATTATCAATTTTAGACTTTTGTAACATACTATCATTATTGGAATGTGCATCCTCACAACGGTCAAAAGATTTAGTAAGTTCTATTGGTTCTTGCTTTAGTATTGAATTCGTTCTAGCAGCTGGGGTGGCATCTATGGCCACAGAGACCTTCTTAGATTTAACACTTTCACTTCCTTTGCTTTTGATAGATTCATTTGATTTACCAACATATTTTGTGTTCGATATACGTTTATTACTACTTAATGAAGAATGAGAGCCAAGAGCAGACGTTGATGTAGTTTTTTCTGATGTGTGCGTTTTGACACCACTATTTTTAGATGACAAATTACTTATCCCGTTTGCATTCAAGATGTCTTTTCTAGATCTTTTAGATTCAGATAACAGCTCTTCAGATCTAGTGAAAGGCTTGGGTACAGTCAACTGTTTATCACTATTTATTTCTGTGTTTGACTTTCTTAATATACCAGGTGAACATCTGTGCATCATTTCATTAGTTATCCAGTCTCGTACTTTGGTATGTGCATCTAAAGTACTAGTTGATAAATGTCGTCTTAGTTGGAATCTTTCACGAAAGCCACCAGAATCATCCGACTTAGGAGTTTTGCATTGTTCTGGTTTCTTTTTAATCTTCTTGTTGTTATTTTTCATTTTATTAAAACTCATTGATTTGATCACACTGCAACCATTTTTTAGTGTCTGTAAGGCGCTTTTGTCATCTTTAGAGCATTTTTGACCTATGACATCTATTTCGCCGACATCAGCGCGAGAGTGATTACCGATTTCCATAGTACGCTCACGAAGTCTCGACTTTCGCTTCTTGAAATACAAAATGGAACAAATACCAATATTCACTAAAAGAAACAGAATTCCAATCGATATAACAAGGGTGATGGTTGCGCTCGACGTTTTCACAGGTAAATTAGTATTCGGCTTTTGTGTTGAGGTATATAGTTCAACCTTTTCCAATAAGTTCGGCGGTGGTGGTCGATGTGGCAAATGTTTTATTGATTGAATTTGGCGGTAAATTGAATCAGTATCTGACTTGTAGATCGGAGGATTAGGTTGAAGTCTACCGACTGGCATACTCGGTTGGTAGTCGAACCGAGAATTAGTCTGTACTCTCCCGGTGGGACTGTAATGAGGCGTATCTACCACTCTTGGAGCCCATATTTTTCTTATGATATCTGGGAACAAAAATGTTTGATGTCATTAGGGTTTTATGTTTAAAAAATAAAATTACTAGGAAATATTAGATTTGATCCAGGTATGTAGTTAAAATTTCCTACAAAAAAAAATATTTTAGGTATAGCAGTTAATTGCCTAAATAAAAGTAGAGTAATTATATAAACTATTACCGATATCTTTATACCATTTAGTTCTTATAACAGCTCTTGTTTTATTAACCTGTTATTTTTCTTATTCATTATTTTATAAAATAAAGTGAAACAGCACAAATAAATAAATATATTGCGGGCCCAAATGAATAACTTCTACCTGCATGACTCTATCAAATATAAATGGTGTTATTAGTAAACACAACTTTAATATTCTAGTGATCAAGTAACTGGAAACTATAACCCGCTGACTTGAATATCATAATAAACAGATACCTGTACTTCTGTGTGTTGGTTTAGGTTTCGGAGTCGATGGCGTCGGCGTGTAAGCAAACAACGGATCGACCACGTACCGTCTTATCTTCTTAGGTAGGCTCTCGAGCCAGAAATTTGTGTAGTTCGATCTGTACAAACTACTGATGAGTGGAGGCATATCTGTGAAAATAAGGTAAGTGTTATTATATTCAGGACTCTATGTTATTTTTCTGTACAGTTACTCAATCATACATGAGTTTGAAGTTAGGACTACCAATTATTTGATACAAAAGGATGGTATACCAGCATATGGCTCGTCTGATGGTTAGCCTATAGACTACTTATGATAATATTTAAAATCAAATAGAATTTTACTACAAAAATAATCTACTTTGTCAAGTTACCAGGTTTAGTGACAATGGGTGTAAACAATTACAATTATATCTGCTCATCATTAGAATCGAAGCAACATGAGCTTTTGAACTATAGATCGCTTTTTTTTGTATTTTTAAAATTTATATGCTTTTGTTAATTAATAACTGGTAACAATTTGATTTATTAGTGATTCAAGTTAAAAACCTTATCATAACGATGATAAAAAATATCAACTGATTAAATTTACAGATTTCGTAAATAATGCATGTTGCTTAGACTTCTTTGATAATGTATACTGTTATTTAGTTGCTGTTGTGTAAAAGCATAAATGGAAATGGAGATAGGTGGCCACTCGAGCAGAAGAGACGATGACCGATGGACTCGTAAGATTGTCGAGTGGAGACCAAGAACAGGCCGATGAAAAGTGGGAAGGCAACACATGCCCTGGACCGACAAAATCACCAAGGTAGTGGGCAAGACATGGATGCACGTAGCGAGGAATGGGGTCGCATGGAGAAACCACAAAGAGGAACGACAATGGGTGAACCCGGGCTTATGAAGAAGAAGAAGTGTTAAAGCGATCCCAGCCAATCACAAAATGAAAAACGTTTTTTGACTGCTTACTCAACGGGATTGCAAAAATCATTAACTGAATGAAAATGTAGGTACATAATGAGTATAAATAAGGCATTAAGAAAAAAAATACATTAAAAATTTTACTAAGAAACGCTACCTTATTAACTATTCAATTCTGTAAAGCTCCACTTTTATTGTCATTAAAAATAAAATTACGTTATATTTATAAGTTTTCACAGTTAAATAAGTTAGAGTATCTCTTGTAGACCTATTTTCATAAATTTGAATTTAAATTCATGTTTAGCAGCACAAATTACTTAGGTAACCATCATCTGAATATTCCGAAAGCTTTACAGAATATTATGAAATATTAAACAGAGCCAATTAAATATAAATTAATTCGTTGTTTAGTATTCAATTATGGAATTCTATTGCAGTACAGTGAAATTAAGGTTCATAAAATTTCAATGTATCCTGATATATCGGATAACATAATTCTTGTCTCTAATAAATATTTTGTCCATAATAATTTAATATTGTTTGGTATTTTAACAGCTATTCATCATCATCATCATCATAATGCTGGACTCAGTGACTCCGCAGGACTCCTCTAGGGATCTCCGAACAGAACGATCCTAAGCTTTCCGCATCCAATAGGTCCCCTTGACTCGCTCGATGTCTTCAGCCCACCTGGTACGGGGTCTACAGACTATACGTTTCCCGGTGCGAGGTCGCCATTGAAGCACCTTAGGACCCCAAGTCCATCGGTCGAATAATGTGCCCCGCCCATAGCCACTTCAGCATGGTGATCCGTTTAGCTGTCTGTTACTCGAGTTCATCTACGGGTTTCTTCATTTCTGATTCGATCACGTAGAGAAACACCGAGTATAGCTCTCTCCATAGCGCGCTGTGCGACTCCGAGCCTTCTTATGAGGCCCATTATCAACGATCACGTCTTAGCTCCGTTTATCACAGGTAACACACACTGTTTGACCGTGGTCTGCAGGTACTGAGGTATTTCGGACGAGAAGACATCGCGAAGTTTATTGAACGCTGCCCAGGCGAGTTGGCTACAGCTACTCAATGGTTTGGTTTATTTTGACTTTGAACACCAAAAATATAATTTCTCAGCAAAATCGACAAGCGATTCTAAACCCTGAATTTATGGAGACAGATAGTATTTATAATTACCCGTTTGTTCCGAATTGGACGTCGATGACCGTTGTAAAATGTGTCATAGGCCAATCTCAGACACATCAACTGGTACCATCGACTAATAGGATCGACTAATATGGGTATGTTTAGGAGCGCTATGCAGTGAGGCGGGGAGGGTAGGACCGGCCAACTAAATACCAGATATTAAGCTAATAATTTTAAGAGATACCTACCTAACCTCAAGTACGATTGGTGTTCCACATCATACTCTGGCCATTCGACGTTGTATTGATTCCAATGCTCCTTATCAGATGTGAAGTACTTGTTTACACTCTGGGTGTTAGGTGTTCTGAAACAAAAGGTTTGAATGAGTGAAAAAGATAATTAGTATAGACGCCGATCCACACGATACAAACTTCTCTCTCTGCGTGTGCTCCGCTGGGAGATGATCATTGGATATCCTCTACGCCCTACCTCTCTTGATGTGTCCGTACTGTTTGTAACAAACTTTGATCGCATCTCACCGGGTCCATAGCCTTATCGCGTGTACCTACACGCATGTACACCGCGTGCGGCGGCTCCTGGATTTGCACTTCCTCTAATACCTATCTGTCTTGATGTATGTAGTAGTGCTTGTCACGCAGACAAGCACAGCCGAGTTGTAGCTCACCCGATCTTAACGAAGTTGGTCCACAGCATCATCACGATCTCTCTAAGCTGCTTTTTTTTATAGATAGGTCCGACAAATGACTCCACCCCACCTGATGTTAAGTGAAGGTGAAGTCCAGACGTGAAGATAGCTGATACAGCAGTTGTACCTGCCACACCAGCCATCTTCACCCTGCCACCCTGCATGTTGCTACTTCACGCCTCTTTTAAAGGATCCCAGGTTGTAAGAGGGAGGGAACTCGTGAGCGGGCAGAGCATTCCCTCCTTGTGTGTATACTGCAGGGAGGTGGGCGATGGACCCTATGTCTGTCATACACTTCTTGATCTATCCATTCTGTTTGTCACAGATTCTGGTCGTAGCTTACCCGATTTTAACGAAGTTGGTCCAAAGCCTCATCACGACTTCACTGAGTAGCTTCTCCTGCTGAGTATACACCGCAGGGAGGTGGGTGATAGCACCGCCCAGTGGCACTCCGAGCACGTACGGCAGCTCCTGGCCGTGCACGCTTTTGTTTAACTGAAACAATATAGGTTCGGGACTGTGTGTAAAGCTTTTGAGGCGAGATCCTAAAGGGACCTCAAGCCGAGAATGGACGAGTGCTTTTACAGATATTCCAGGCGGATGGCATCTCCCCTCGGAGAGAGTCTCCTCTCCGTCTGGAACTTCTAGACCACTCGAACCTAAATGTGTCGGCTCAACCAGTAGGCGTCTCTGAAACTCGGACCTCGGCTCTAGTTAGTCATTGTCGTGGGGACTGTGCGAATAGCACTTAGTCGGAGAAAGAAAGAAGAAAGAAAGAAAAACATTTATTGACGACGTACATCAAATTACAATAAATACATCATCATCATCATCAACAGCCTATCCTAGTCCACTGCTGGACATAGGCCTCTCCAATTGCACGCCACTCAGATCGATTTTGGGCTACTCGCATCCAGCTCCTGCCAGCCACCTTCCGCAAATCGTCACTCCACCGTGCCTGAGGACGTCCTACACTACGTTTGCCTAGACGCGGTCTCCACTCCAGAACTCGTCTACCCCAACGGTTATCGGTTCTTCGGCAAATATGGCCAGCCCACTGCCACTTCAGCTTACTAATCCGGTGGGCTATGTCGATAACTCTGGTTCTCTGTCGGATTACCTCATTTCTGATGCGATCCTTCAGAGAAACGCCGAGCATAGCCCTTTCCATAGCGCGCTGAGCGACTTTGACAATAAATACACATAAATAAAACATAAAACAAAGGTCCGTCGTCAACTAGGCCCCGCCTCAGCATAATGTTGCAACTGCAAAAATGGATTGCTGCTGCAACGCTGTTAATCTGGAGGGACATAATTTGGGCATCCACGGACGGAGACACAAGACAATCAATTAATACACAAATAATAGAAGTTATTTATATAATAATATTAACACTAAACAAAAACAAAAAGCATGAACAATCATCCCTTGCCCAAGAATGTGAAGTTCATCACAAAAAGAAAAATAAAACTTAGAGGCTGTGTGGGATTAGCTCTTTGCCTTCGGATACACAAAAAGAAGAGGGGAAAAGAACATTACTTGTGATATGTGTTCATCTTATGGAATAAATAAAACAAAATGGAGACAAGACGACACGTAATAAAACCATGTCATCGGACCATTTAACAACGTGGCACAGCATTACAAAATGAGTCTGCGATTGTGGATTAAGGCCTACTTGCAACAAAGCTCTTAATTCGAATTCAAAATCAATCATGCTTCAGCATTATTTTATGAATGTATGAATTTATAAAATAGACAAATATCACGTCTTAGACATGACTAAGCCTTAATTTGAAGAATTTTTCGATAACAATTTTTACTAAAAATATCTATCATCACACTTGAGTGAAATTTATAGTTGTTTTTTTTCTGTAGTAGATTTATAAATGTAGCAGTTTAACGCTAAAATTTATTGTACAACTAAATTTCGGTAATTTATTTAATTAATCCTCGTAGAATATATTTTTGGATGAAACTATGAACCACCAGACAAAATTCAACTCGCGTATTTAATGTACCTACATAGAAAGCTGAAAATCCATTCTACTAATTTTTTCATAATATAAATTACAAAGTAACTTTAAAAGACCGTCTATTTATCCGACATTCTTTCCACTACTATTGAAGAATTTTAGTAAAGAGACAGAGCGACCGGCCTTTTAAATCTAAATATGAGAATTAAATTTTATAAACAAAAAAAGAGGCCTCTTGAAATAAATTGTAACATGAGCTAGAATAAAAATAAAATTGCGGCTGACCACATACTTATTAGTACACTCGCGGAATGACCCGCTCCGTCACCCATAATGCCATAATCGCTTGCGTAGCGTAGTAAAAATTCATTCATAGACATGTAATTATCGCTGTCTTACTTTTTCGTATAGCGCTGTCGCGATCACGAAACAGATGACAAATTGCAACTAAAACAAATGCAATTCAATTCATTATTCAATCAATGAAATGCTGTCTGTCTTACTTTTGTGCGGCGGCCCGGATTGGCGCGTCCGACGCGAAGGCGGGGCGTAGTAAAAACTACTGTAGATAACCGTTCAAAGCATTTTGTTCGCCAAGTGACAGAGCGCAAAATTCCGCGATAGTACCTACTTCAGATTGAAGATTCTAGAATAAGCTCGTATAGTATTACTACAGCACTATTTGCAGATTGCCACTGTAGAAACGCAACTTTCAGACAAACCGTTGTAAACTCGAGCAGTATGCTTCAAAGCGTGTTGTCAGCACTCTCCGCTGCAAAGTTAAGATTTAAACACGTCTGTTCTGCCTTGAGGTAAGAAGCGTTATTACAAAGTATAAACGTGGTGAAACGTGGTAGGTATTAAAATGAATATATAAACTGTAATATCTTTAGGTATATTTAAAAAACCGGGTAAGTGCGTGTCGTGCCACGCGCAGTGTAGGGTTCTTAGTTTGTGAGGAAGTATATAGGTGTATAGCTATCTGTCATCTATGTACAACAGTGAATAGCTGTACCCGTAAAATCCATATATATAAAACTCAAAGGTGACTGACTGACATAGTGATCTATCAACGCACAGCCCAAACCACTGGACGGATCGGGCTGAAATTTGGCATGCGGGTAGATGTTATGACGTAGGCATCCGCTAAGAAAGGATTTTGATCAATTCTACCCGCAAGGGGATAAAATAGGGAATGAAAGTTTGTATGAAACTTTGTCAATTTTAAACCGATCGGGCTGAGACTTTGCATGCAGGTATAAGAAGAATCATAGATATTGTGTATAATACAAGCCTGAGAACAAAAACTGTAGTCTACACTTCAGCTCTACACCGAAGCGAAGCGAGGACGGGCCGCTAGTTTGTGTATAAAGTGTTTTAAATATGAATAAACAAAGTACTGCATAAAGAAAATTAATAAATGATTATAATTATGTTAAAAAAAACATCTTATTTTTTTAAGAAAAAAAAATAAGATAGTAAAGCGAAACTAAAGCTAATGCAAACAAGGTCGGGGGTGGTGGCTAGTGTTTTATAAATGTAGATATGCGTTATGTAAGTAATATTTTTTATTAGGCATTCTCATAGTGTTAATCATTAATTAAAAGCAAATTACTGTAAACATGGTAATTTCATGTTCGAATTATTAACTTCACAGAATTTAATCTCAACAATGTTCGATAGCTTCGATGAATTTTGCTTCATAATAATTAATTTATCATATTGAACGAGTTGTAACATGAGGGAACACGTTCAAGTCACTCAACGTCAAATTCCACGTGGTAAAATTGATTGTGCACGCTATAATATGAATCGAAAATATTTATAGGATAACGTCAAATTGCTGTATTTCTAAAGTATTCATATACGAGTAATTAAACATTTTACTCGATAAAATTAAATTTATAATTAGAATTTAAGCCTCGGCCTTAATATGTTCAAAAACAATAATAAAAATTAAGTGCCAATTGTTAGCATCTGTGCTTAGAATGAATATTGGCAGGGGATTTTACTATTATTACAAAAAAAAACATAAATTTTACTAAAAACCGACGAAAAGATAATAGTTTTCTTTTCTATTGTCACGTGACCCAAAACGCTTGGGATTGGCAGAGCCTAAAATGACGTCACACGCAAGTAAACTTCCGGTTAAAGTGACATTACATTGTATCGTTTGACGTTTTAATACGAGTCGTGTGACGTTACACACTATAGTAAGACGCCATATTGTCCAGAGAAACGTTTTCGCGGCAACTTGAAAATGGGGTTTTTTATTTGGTTATTTTTACTGAAATACACAACAGAATGATGAATATCCATCTATCTTTTTACGGACTCCATAAACATAAGTGAATAACGTGAGATCGTTTTCTAAAACTTGTCATATACCCTATTGTATATATTAGCATCATAGTCATCATCAGCCAATTAATGTCCCACTGTTGGGGCACAGGCCTTCCTTATGGATGGAAAAGGGAGATAGGGCCATGACCCACCACGCGGGCCCAGTGCGGATTGGTAGGTGCTAACGACTACAGATGCAGCCGAGACCAACGGCTTAACGTGCTTCTGAAGCACGGACGAGCTCGAGATAGTAAATTTTTGTTCACTCATCCCATGACCGACCACTGTAAAAGTTGCTTCACTTCAACGAACGCTGCCGAATGCGCTAACCACCTACGATCGAGCTCCTCAACGTCAAACGTCAAATTCCATGTGGTAAAATTAATTGTGCACGCTATAAAATGAATTGAAAATATTTGTAGGATATCATAAAATTGCTTTATTTCCACGAAAATAATATACTTAATCATTTTATTCGTTTAAATTTATTTTATAATTCGACTTTAAGCTTCGGCCTTAAAACAATTGTATAATTGGCGTCATCGGCATTGGATGGAATAAGGAGATTGGGCCCTGACCAACCACTTGGGCCCAGTGCGGATTGGTAGGTGCTAACGACTGAAGATGCAGCCGGGACCAACGGCTTCACGTGCCTTCCGAAGCACAGAGGAGCTCGAGATAGTAAATTTTTTGGTCAGCCATCCAATGACCGACCACTGCGAAAGTTGATTACCTTTCACGATCGCAGGCCGAACGCGCTATCCACCTGTGTCATCGATTTGAGTCCATCGAGTTTTGTTTTAATAATCACAAAATCAAGACAAAGAATATGAGCACAGATACAGCAGTCGGTATAATAATAAAATTAAGTCCGCCGATAGGTACGTTATAAAAATTGTTTCGTCATAACTCTATTGCGTCTTTATTATCAGTGCAGCAGCTTACCATACTAAATAGGGAGGGACAAACTTCGCAAAATTATAAGAACCCTGACTGGTCATTGTCCCCTAAACAAACACCTATATACAACAGGAGTAACAGACAGCCCCCTATGCAGAGGATGCATGGAGGCAGAAGAAACGCCACAGCAAGTCATCATGGGATGCAGGAGTGTGTCCGACCAATGGGCACGACTTCTCCAGTCGCTAGAATCGCTTCCGGAAGCTTGCAGCAGT